TGTTTCCTCCATTTCAATCTCAATAACAAGCTTTTATTGGAGTCATGACATAATGTATATATGTAAGTTTTAACATACTTCTAAATCCAGCCTGAATGCTTAAAACACAAGTACACAGATTATTTTGGAAAATATTCACCATGAAGTCATATTTCAGGCACAGCATTTAGCACCATATGTATTTTAAAACATCCCTGGTTTTGTATATTCATGAGGTACAAATATGTCATACATAAATTTTACTATAAACTTTGCTTACAAAGCTTGTATTTAAACATGAAGTTTGTCCTAAAATTTAAGCAGTGATATAGACTTGTATATGGCTTTCAATAATGAAAATTAATTATAAACTTCAAGCTAAAATTCTGAGTGCAAGCTACACAATAAATATGTTTTACCTTATTAGCATGGTGGGAGCAATTTATAGGACAAAATACATTTCACTGTGACAGAAATTTTACTATTGCTTTTTTCAAGGACTTTCAAAATACATAGTTTATGAGTCTTCTGAATATTATTTTAAGACTACACACCATTCATAGTTATATCTGAATATATAATGTTGAAATCTAATGCACAAATGCTCTTGTACATGTTAAATGTATCAACTTCAATACCAAATTACGAATTGCATGACATTAATGTTAGTAACTATTGCTTGTAATCTAAAGAATTATGTTGCACAGTAATTTAAAACATTTTCAAAGCAGCTTTCAATTTGTTCCCTGGTGCTTCCTCTACGATGCACAGGCTGACTATTTGTGTGTGATTAAATTTTCATGTCAGTCTGAATAGGCAATATTTGGTTGATCAACCAAATTGTCAGACAGTAATTCTTGTCCAGGCTCCTCACTGGATATCAACAAAGGTACATAGAAGATATTGATTAAGAAAGGTCCTTACATATAACTATGTATTTGTTCATGTGTAAGCCCCATTTCTATTCATTGTATATGCAAGACCAACTACTGAAAATTCCCCATCATTAGTTCCTCTGGACTTCCATGGCATAATACGGAGAACTGATATACTCTTACATAGGAGGGTTTTTTTTTGTTTTTTGTTTTTAAAGTGAAATTCACCTCTGTGCAGATAGCTAGCACAAGGCATATGTACCGCTTATATTCCACTCAAACTCAGGCTTAAGTGGTGCACAGGAGTAAATTTCACTCTCTATCAGGTAAGGATTCTTATGACTACAGAAAGTGTCTTTCACAAATGAAGCTGATCTATTTTCAGTTCAATTAAAATGTTAACTTACAAAATCATCCATATTAATAAACACACTTTTCATAAGTCACTGACTGAAATATACTGCACTCTCCTTATAGAACCACTTTATAGTAGTTGGGAGTTAACCTTCAGAAATCTTATGGTGAAACATAGTTTTTAAAATATCGTTATTATGGAGGGGTTTTACTTAGCTGTGAACTTTGATGCAGTAGCCCTATAACAATGTTGTAGCAGAATTACGAGAGTGGAGTGCATTAGGGAATATTCGTCAAATACTCTGTGTATCTCAGTAGAATACAAAATTAACATATATGTGGCTTTATAAGTGGTGTCTAGAATAAGGATGTAAATTGTCAACATTTAATCCAGATTTTAAGGTCCGTGTGATCTTGTAAAATCTACAGCATTTACTGATTTTACAAAATATTTACACAAAATATAAGACATACTTATCTGTGCATCCGAAGTCAAATGTAACCCAAAACAAGAATGACAGAGCTCTGTCCTACTCAGTTTTTATACAGATTTTCACATTGTTTTCAGTAGAAAGTTCTGAGCATGGTTTGTCAGAAAGATAATTTTCTTCACTGGAGAGATGTTTTTCTTTCCATTCCGATTTCAGTATCTTCTTTGCAACAGCCTTGTTTCTAGACTTTTGTTGGCCCTATAAAATCAGATGTCCCTTAGAACTAATCATCTATAAATATAGTTTGTGAAACTATCCTAATGACCCAGCATTTGTGCACATAGTTTCAATTATGATTATGTCAGTTATGTGAGAAACCCCACACATGACATTATGAAATGGCCTATTGTCGGTAAACAGACAATGACAAACAATTTAACCATGGAATGAAATAAAAGGGAAGCACAGATCCTTATGAATTTAAAGGGTAAGTGTAATACAGTGATCTCCCTATTAGCATTTTTAACTCTTCAAGACAAAGTTCCAAAGCAGAATTAGGTTCTAAGTAGGGCTATCGATTAATTGCAGTAAACTCATGTGATTAATTCAAAAAAATTAATCGTGATTAATTGCAGTTTTAATTGCACTGTTAAACAATAGAATACCAATTGACATTTAATTAAATATTTTTGGATATTTTCTCCATTTTGAAATATATTGATTTCAGTTACAACACAGAATATAAAATGTACAGTGCTCACTTTATATTATTTTTATTACAAATATTAGCACTGTAAACATGATAAAAGAAATAGTATTTTTCAATTGACCTCATACAATACTGTAATACAATCTCTTTATCGTGAAAGTGCAACTTACAAATGTAGATTTTTTTTGTTACGTAACTGCACTCAAAAACAAAACAATGTAAAACTTCAGAGCCTACTTTAGAGCTTACAAGTCCACTCAGTCCTACTTCTTGTTCAGCCAATCGCTAAGATAAACAAGTTTGTTTACATTTATGGGAGATAATGCTTTTGGCTTCTTATTTACAATGTCACCTGAAAGTGAGAACAGGCATTGGCATGGCACTTTTGTAGCCAGCATTGCAAGGTATTTACGTGCCAGATATGCTAAACATTCGTATGCCCCTTCATGCTTCATCCACCATTCCAGAGGACATGCTTCCATGCTGATGATGCTCGTTTAAAAAAATAATGCATTAATTAAATTTGTGACTGAACTCCTTGGGGGAGAATTGTATGTCTCCTGCTCTGTTTTACCTGCATTCTGCCATATGTTTCATGTTATAGCAGTCTTGGATGATGACCCAGCACATGTTGTTCATTTTAAGACCAATTTCACTGAAAATTTGACAAAATGCAAAGAAGATACCAATGTGAGATTTCTAAAGCTAGCTACAGCACTCGACCTAAGGTTTAAGAATCTGAAGTGCCTTCCAAAATCTGAGAGGGATGAGGTGTGGAGCATGCTTTCAGAAATCTTAAAAGAGCAACACTCTGATGTGGAAACTACTGGGGAAAATGCACATCCTTTCCACAATTCACCCACATCCTTTCCACGAACGCTGTTATTCTCCGACAATTCAGAACCCAAACCACCAAAAAAGAAAACCAACCTTCTGCTGGTGGCATCTGACTCAGATGATGAAAGTGAACATGCTTCGGTCTGCACTGCTTTGTATCATTATCGAGCAGAACCCGTCATCAATATGGACGCACGTCCTCTGGAATGGTGGTTGAAGCATGAAGGGACATATGAATCTAACTCATCTGGCACATAAAGATCTTGCGATGCCGGCTACAACAGTGCCATGTGAACACCTGCTTTCACTTTCAGGTGACATTGTAAACAAGAAGCAGGCAGCAATATCTCCTGCAAATGTAAACAAACTTGTTTGTCTGAGTGACTGACTGAACAAGAAGTAAGGCTGAGTGGACTTGTAAGCTCTAAAGTTTTGCACTGTTTTATTTTTGAATGCAGTTATTTTTTGTATATAATTCTACATTTGTAAGTTCAACTTTCATGATAAAGTACTTGTATGAGGTGAATTGAAAATACTATTTCTTTTGTTTTTTATAGCACAAATATTTGTAATAAAAATAAATATGAAGTGAGCTGTAGTTTATAGTTTGTGTTCTGTGTTGTAATTGAAATCAATATATTTGAAAATATAGAAAACATCAAAATATTTAAATAAATGGTATTCTATTATTGTTTAACAGTGCGATTAATCGCGCGATTAATCGTGATTAATTTTTTTAATCACTTGACAGCCCTAGTTCTAAGCAGTGTCTGCAAAAAATGTACATATACAAGTAAATATGCATGTCCAACTTCTACTTTTCCATCTAAGTCAGCTAATTGCACATGAAAATGAACATTTGTGTGCATGCGTTTTTTAAGATTCAACTTTGAACCCAGGTTTTGAAAGTGTGTCTCCTTATTTTAAAAATTGCAGCTTGAAAAAAAACAACAACCCTCATCTCTTTCACGTGAATGACCACAGTATCACAATACTAAGGGATTTGCCATAAGGTTCTACATGTGGGCAAGTTGAACAGATGAGTCCATTCTCTCTCTCTCTTTCTATATATCCTATTGATGTCAACGAGAGATCCATGCAGAATGAGAAAAGGAGTACACAACTTCCTGGCACATTATACTGCACTTATACATTCTTTATCCCCTTTTGGAGACATGTGCATACATGGCAAGCTCCCTGAGATGTGCTTTAAATTTCCAATCAGAGTCTCAACATGATGAGATTACAAAGAATTGTGCCATGCTACTCTTTCATTTTGATTTTGCAAAAACCCAAGCTCCATAAAGCTAGCATGGAATAAGAATAGAGTCTTATAAAAGGAAACTAAGCTGTTTCTCATAGTATAACACCATCCAAAACAACAACAACAAAAACCCAGCAGGTCAAGTACAAACTTCTTTTCTATAACTCTTTTCTTTAGAACAGTGCAATTTTTAAAACATTTCTCATTACTAAAATGTGTGTGAAATTTAAAAGAAAACTTTCAGTCAGTGGTTGAATTCTAAGCACATGTCTGCACTTACCTCTGGAGTGATCGATCCAGCAGGGGTTGATATATCACATCTAGTGAAGATGCGATAAATCACCCGCCGAGCGCTCTCCTGTCGACTCTGGTACACCACCGGAGAGAGAGGCGCAGGCGGAGTCAACGGGGGAGTGTCAGTAGTCGACTTGCCGCAGTGAAGACACCGCAGTAAGTAGCTCTAAGTACGTCGACTTCAGCTACATTATTCATGTAGCTGAAGTTGCGTAACTTAGATCGATCCCCCCTTTCTCCCCAGTGTAGACCAGGCCTAAGATTCAAAGAAATCCCATGCTTTTAAATCTTTTTGCCTCCCTGACTTTTGGGAGAAGGAGAACAACAAATTTAAAATTGAATTTATGAATCTAACATTTAACAACTTCCAATGGCAGAGTACAAGATATAATAATCTGTAAAGGGCTTTCAGTAGAGTCTTTCATGCCCTTGCTCACCCTTAGATTAGATCTACCAATGTTGAAAGATAACTTTATAGAATATGCCCACCATGGTGAAAAGCCTAAAGTGACTTGATTGTTTCATCAGTGTTTTTACATCAAACATTTTAGTGCAGGTATTGTAGTCAGCAGTGCTTGTAACTTCTTGTCAGAACCTTTGAATTGGGAGACTACAGCCCCCTACTAGATAGTTCCTAAAGGTAGCTCCTTGTCAGAGGAATCAGGTTCAAGTTCTATTGGTGATTCTATAGGGTTTTCATTGTCTATGCAGTCTGGACAGCATTTTCCTTCCAGCTTTGTGGGGGTCGAACACTCTACTGAGGGACACGTCTCCACAGTACAGGTTATTTGGCCATTCTGAAAGGTAATGTTGAAGTATTAGCACCTTTTTTCCCAATAGAAAAAAACAGGACAGCACAGTCTCCAATATTTTTTACAATTTTCCAGTGCTTTGTATAAAATACAGTAGCTGAAAGAATGCAGATGGTCTCTGTCATGCAGAATTGTATAAAATTAGATGATGTACTTATGCACACAAATAAGTGATCATTTTCCTAGTTGTAAGAACAATTTGACAGGTTTCTGAGGTTAATTAGAATGCTCACAGCCAAAAAATTGTTCAGCAGTTCTAACTCATATCAAAGTTTTCTAATCTGATGCCTTTCTTTTTTTAAAAAAATGTCTTGCACTACGCAAAGGTTCAATTTTCACACCGCTGTGCATTGAAAAAATACAAGATTTCCATTCAGATTCATTATAAAACACTTCTATATCTAAGTTCACTGTAAGTCACTATATGTGTGTTCCACTCTACTATTGTTTAACATTAGCATATGCTAATAACCACAATATTTTTTCATTGTTTGTTATGTTTGACAATTGAGTCCGCTACAAGGTATAAAATAATTGTAATACGGTAAAAGGCTAAGCTTTAGAAAAGGGTCATAACGTAACATTGCTGAATAACTGTCATAGGGCAGTCACCTCCCAGGTGCCCTTCGTGGTGGCCCTACAAGCAGTTCCTTGCCTCAATTTCCCTCTTCCAGACTGACAGTTGTTCAATCGCCTGCCTGCTTTCTGCATCACATGTGATGGGTAACCCTGCCTGGAGCACCCTGCACTGGGAAGAGCAGGAATCCTCATAGCCCGTCTTCTGGGATTTCATCCATTTACCCCTCTCTCCTTCTGGGCCCACCTTTCCAGCATTAAGACATTAGCAGGTAAGCCCCTCTGCTGCTCTCTGCCGTCAGCTCCCAGCTTTGACTCTCTGGGTTGGGCAGGTCAGCTGGCAAATCCCTCTTCTGCCCTCCCTCAGGAACCACTTACAGTCTCCTGGCTCTGGCAGCTCTCACCTGGTGACATCTCACTCCCAGGCAGCTCTTACCTCACCTTTTCCTGACTGACTGAGATAGCTCTGACTCCCCAGGTCTCTCTCCCACTTTCTTTATTTTGGACTCTAGGTTCTGGACTCTCCCTTGCCTTTGGGCTGTCTCATTCATACCTCCCGGGGCAGCCCTACCCTCTTCATTATAGCCAAACTAGAGCACACCTGGACTAGATCAGGACTGGTCTCAATTTCCTTGAAGGGGCCAGCCACCCTGTTACAGTAAAAAAAAAAAAAAAAAAAAAAAGCATTTATTTATAGGGGTTATATTTAAGTCAATATTAGATCTTGGGCCAGATTTTCAAAGGTAGTTGGTGCCTAAAGATGCAGATAGTTGCCTAGTGGGATTTTCAAAAACATCTAAGCAGGTGAAGCACCTAATTCCCATGGGTTAGATAAAGTCCAGGAAAAAATGATGCCCCCAATCCCGCAGATTTATCAATTTTATGCTGTAGTCCCATTGAGATGAAGTAGTCCCATTCACTCCTGTGTGTAAAGTAAAGCATGTGTGTAAGTCTTTTGCAGGATCAAGGCCTATGAGCTGGAATCATTAGATACAAAAAATTCAATACACAAGGATTTAGGAGCTGAAGTTTTGCACACATGTATGGAGTGAAATTAAACCCTCTGCAGATGGCCCATGTTGTACATAGGCACTATGAATCCCACTTAAGTCTTCTTATGCAGAGGACCTGCAAAAATACCTGTGTACATCTTCAGCGTTATCTTGAAGGAGTAAGTGACTCTTAAATGGAATGTAGGCCTTATGCCCATTGTAGATTTGAGCACATGGAAGCATTATGTGCACATCAATGGCACAGCTAAAGTGTGTGATGTCAAGAAAGATTATGCAGTGGAATTTAGCATTTCTCTGAGGGTGACAGAAGTAACCTCATCCATGGACAGGAAATTGATGGTGGGCTGTTGCTGGACCATACATCAAAGACCTACCAATTGGTGGGAACCATTTTGTGTAGCCAAAACTCACCTGTTTTTCAGTTGGAAGAACGATGAGACTTGAATTTGATTCAGAATGATATGGAACTATTTGTGCTAAATAAACTAACCTATACATCAAGGAAGTAACCCAGCTGTTGGTGCGCCTATTTGTGAAAAAGTGAATTTAGCCCTCACAAAAAGAGAGAACCCAATTAAAGCTGCCTCACACCTTCTGTAAGTGATTTCCACTTATTCAGTATCAGAGCTAAGTTAGTGCAAAATGGTATCACCAATATCAGATTTCTTCTCTGGTATGCACATTTTGCATTTAAGACGAGGTGCAGATTAGACTCAATCTGAAATATTTTGTCCTTTTGTTTAACTCTGGTTATGGCAAATGTTCACTGAATTTCTCCAGAAGACTTATGTTCCCTATTATCACTAAGCTATGGAGAGTTGTGAGGCACACTTTTCTTTCTTAATTCATCATTGCAGGATGCTTCAGCTGGCATGATACCAAAGGAAAAAGAGAATTTAATAGCAGAGAAAACGTTCAGCAACACATACCTTACAGCTACAGCTAATGCAGTCTTCCTTCATCCAGTGTTCATTTTCCTTCCGCTGAATCCCATCATCCATGCAACCTTCCTGCCTCAGGCGAGCCTCCAGCTTGTTTATCTGTAAAAGGAGAGGGGAGAGGTGGGATAGGAAAAGGTGGAAACTAAGCTGAATGAATCATTATTCTTGATAACAACATATTAAAGCTTCAAAAACCTTCAGACATTTATTCATTTTCTTAGTACCAAGCTTTCATCTTGGCTTAATCAGCATTTCTATTTTTGCATAGAACACATTTGCAGTCCAAAAACTACTTGATGATTAAAATACTTTATTTTCCACTTGTATTGTAGCTGATGACCTCACAGCTCTGGCACTCCCCAGGAACCTATATCATGATGTAATTTGGATCAGTGATCAATATGTGATGAACTTCCAGCAAAGAAGCTGTATAGCACAATGAGCCTTCTACTTTCTGGAAACTTGAGGGGGTGGGTGGGACCCTGCCTGAGGTCACAAAAGAAATGTATCATGGTCTAATCCTAGCTCATGACAGACACTGGTTTGCACACAAAGCCATGAAAATTTAGCATGAATGACAGTCACTGTTCCTTTAAAAAAGGACTACCACTGGAGTAACAAGGATGCTGATAGGTTATGGAGGCAGCTTGCACAGAATCTCTCTTCACTGTGCTTAATGTCCAACCAGTGTTATTAGGTCAGACTTGCAGGAATGCCAGATCAACAGAACATTTAAAGAAAAGCCGTTAAAAAATTACACTGCAGCCCCTTCATTAAGTGGTAAGGTAACAGTAGCCAATTTAAGACGGTTTGTGTAATTTGGAAGGGAAAAAAGGGAAAAACTAAGTCTTCAGAAAAAATAAACATTAAAAAATGAAGCAAAATGATGAATGAAAGTGCAGTTTTATTGCCAAGACACAGGTCTATTCTCCTCACATTCTGAATGTTTCGCTCCTATTAATTTTAATGACTCACTGCTACAATCTGACACAGAAAGGAGAAGTCATGCTAAATGCTCTCTGTACATATTTTTCAAACTAATTAGTGAAAAATTATATATTTTCCATTTACCGTAAAGCCCTGATTCTGCAGTGGATTCATGCTAGCCAATCCCATTACACCGTCAGATCATGGTTACAATTCCTAACTTAGCCATGCCCAAATGGTCCAAGGGAACTAGTTCTCTTATAAATGAATGACTTTCAGGTCAGCTCTCTGGCTACCCCTCTGTAGGATATTGCCCTGAATCAACTGCCTGAAAGCCTCCTAACCTTTAAAACAGACTATCTGAAGAAGGCCCCAACCGGATTGACCTACATTTGTAATGGGACCCAGCTAGGGTGACCAGACAGCAAGTGTGAAAAATCAGGACAGGGGGCCCTCCATGGAGGAATCTATGACTCAACATTCTCCTTCAGCTCATACACATTTTCCTTGAGAGTGGGTGATGCAGGTCTGAATAAGGACTTGGGGATTTGATCCTATAATATTAAAATATAATACAATTTAGTTAAAGTTAGTAAGTAGCAGTAAACCGATCACTGGGAGGCAAGTCAGTGGCTTTCAACTTTGAGCTTACACAATTCCAGTTCCAGTCAAACACAGGGAACACGGGCGTAGGAGGAAATAGAATTCCTACCTGTGGAGAATTATTCTTCACTTTTGATTAATAAGAACCCATACTAAGCTTCGAGCATATGCCTCATGCATTATTTTACGGAATATGAAAATGTACTGTACCCAAGCCTTGCTTCAAGTACATTGTTTTATATAAATAACTTCTACTTTGAAGATCAAGTGTTTCTAAATTAATAATAAAAATAGCAGCAACCAAGTGCTGTCAGGCCTTTTGCATCCATTAGCTGTTCATACTTAAAAAGGGAATGTCAATACGTTTGCCTTGAAATCTGCTCATTTTGTTGATAGAAGTACTAACTTGACAGCAGACTGTGCTCTGGAGAATAATTTATCTTTGAAATCCCAAGTCACACTTAAGTGTTTTCCTAAATGGAAAGTTGAAGTTTGAAAGAGAATGAAAATGCATAAATTAATTCACAGGTTATACAGTATCAAACTTTTTTTTTAAATGATTTTAATTGAGGACCTCTGACTTTTTACAATTGAATGTATCTTTCCATCCTGCTGTAACTTCTTACAAAATTCCTCTCTTGGCACCATCCCAACACTATGGCAATTGACTGGAGCAACGTGAACAATAAAAACCATTAACGCAGCAGTAACACACATGTACTGCGTGTGTGTCATATGATACTGGAAGACTATTTTTTAGCTTGTTAGCGCTCCAGGTAGGGTCAAACTCTTCTGTGTTTGTACACCTCCAGCACAGTGGGACCCCAATCATGATTAGGGCCTTTGGGTGATAACAATACAGAAATGAATAGATTCATTTATTCTAAATCCAAAAGGGACCATTGTGATCATCTTGTCTGACCTCCTGACTACCGTGAATTAATTCCTGTTTGAACTAGAGAATCTCTTTACAAAAAAATATTAATTACCCTCACTGTTAATAATGTATGACTTATTTCTAGTCAGAGTTTGCCTAACTTCACCTTAATACTAATTTCAGTCAAACATATGACAACTTCTTTTTATTTACATGAGAAAAGTGGTTTTATTTAGATGTAGCAAGGTTGCACAAATATGATCCAATTGTTTGTGCAGTTGCTGTGAAACTACTGCATATCATTCTTCTACCATGACATTCAGAAAAAGGGGGTTCTCATCAGAGTTCAAGATTAGGAAATAGATCTGCATCCCATAATTACTTCAGTAATAACTAGGTTTCTTGTATTTGAGCAAAAGAAGTTTGATCTATCTGGAGGATCCGCCAATGAATTAGAATTGTCATTTGAGGGAATAACATTCATTAAAGAAAAAGCAAAAAAACCTCATAGAAATATACCTCCAGCTATTGAGCTGAATCTCCCACACTAGTGGTTTTAATTACAGCAAAAATCAGAACTCTGCAGTCCACCAGTTCTATCCTTATATAAAATAAAATTCTTTTCATGCTTTAAAAAGGTGCTAAATGGATTTAGTAACGTTTTGATATATTTCAAACATATTTCTGCATCACTGCAATTATCAAAATATTGAGCTGTTAAATCAATGTCTGCCAGCTGCATGCTGTATGTGCAGAAGGGTGGAAAATCTGCCTGAGTACTCTGTAGGACAATGGAAGAACAAGAAATAAACAGAAAGAATGATCTACTGATACTCTGCTTTTTCCTATTGTTAAATTTTATTATATTTTTGAAATGTATTTCACTTATGATGACAAATATCGAGAAGCTGATTTTTGCTGTTTGTTAATTACACCAACAATAACTTGAAATGAAAATATGTCCTTTATATCAATCAAGAGGTTAATTTCATAGGCTCAGATCACACCTTTCTGAAACACAGTCAGGGAGGTGGCATGTTTCCTCTCTCCCTCCCAACAAAGCCCTGACAACCTGTAGATTTTGGAATAACTGTTGGGTGTCATAGCCATCTGCTCATAGGTCGTGTTCTCATGCCAGAGAGAGGTGAAGACGGCACTAAAACAATGCTGTTACAACAGTACCATAGGACCATGGCTTCCCATACCTACTGATGCCCTGGAACGTCTGGAAAGGAAAGTTCTGCAGTGAAGTGATGCTCCACTTGAGTTAATAGAGCCTCAGACTATTAAGTGGATTCCCCATATGGTGGATGTATCTAGGCACCTGTCCCCATCAACCCACACTATGGGTAGATCTTCAGTTCAGCTGAGGGCTCTCTGCAGGGTCTGAGGCCGGGATGGGTGAAGCCATGAGGTAGGTTTCCCACAAAGAAAGCAGGTATGATCCAGCATATATACAATACAGTCTTTACTTTACATCAATTAAACAAGGTGACATTAGTTTGAGACAGAAACCCAATAAATCTCACCTCCTGAGAGATGATTTTCTCCATCACATTTTAAGCATGGTAGCCATTAAATACTGACATGCATATGACAGAGCTTTGAAGGGAACTATAAGGTTATAGGTATTTTTGTTATGCTTATTGTCACCTGATGGCCAACATGAGAATAGCTATTTACTGTTAGAAGCCATAGGGCTGTATAGAGCATGCTCCAGTGGGCAGGGTGAAGCGCGGTGTGAGGAAGTTTTTGCAAGATAGAGTATGGTTAGTTGTCTATGAACCTGTTTCTGAACCTGTACAGTTGTCTTTTGGTTCTCCATATACTGCATTGGCAATGAGGATCAACTGGGAAACGATAACCAGCAAGTTCTACACATTGTGTAAGTGACAACCTTTTTTTTTTTTTTGATTGCAAAGAAAAATAGCTGCATATGGAAAACGAAAGAGTATGATGGAGAGCAGGAGGACTGGATTCAGTAGTCAGAGAGACTTTCCCAGTACTCCATTGCAAATGATATAGAAGGTGATAACAAGAAACATGCCATTTTACTGAGTGTTTGTGGACCAAAACAGAGTTGGATTAGAAGTTTGCTGGCACCAGAAAAGACCAGAGCCAAATACTTCGATGAGCTGGTTAATGCTGTCATGCACCATCACAACCCCATGCCATCAGAGATCGTGCAGAGTTTTAAATGTAACAGTTTTTCCTGCCAACTTGGAATGTCCATGGCTTGTTTTGTAGTAGAACTGCATCGTTTGTCAGAGCACTGTGGTTTTGGAGATACATTAAATGCCATACTGTGGGATAGACTTATCTGTGGTGTCTGTGATGAAAAAATTCAGAAATCTCAGTTGGCAGAGTCCACCTTAGATTTTTAAAAACACTGGAAATAGCACAAGGTATGGAGGGAATTGCATAGCATGCTTTGGATTTACAGGGAAGCACTAAGCAGCACTTAGATAGCGAAACAGTCTTGAGCACCATGCACAAATTGTCCAGCATTGCACACAAAGCAAATGAATCTTTAAGAAAACAGGTATCTCCTTAAGAACATACAAAATTGCTTTTACACTGAGGAGAGACATGACCAGATCTTCTGCCCATACAAGGATAGAGAGTACTGGGTTTGTCAGAAGTGAGGTCACTTTGCAAAAGTTTGCTGTAAAAAAAAAAAAGAAGACATATG